ATTACGAATTGCTTTAAAAGTCAAAACATTGGGTTTAGTGCCATCAATTTATTTCTGTCACATCATTTTTTTAGAACCGAATTCAAGCAAAAATTATTTAAACATTGTGCTTTCGTATACTACGCTAGCAGTTTATACCATTTTTTAAATATATATTTTAAGGTTTACAAGAACGTAATATACTGTTGTGAGCGTCCAAACACCTTATGTATAAAAACGATTAAGTTGATAGCTATAAAAGTATATTGTTATTAAAATATATAAAAATAATATCTTTACGACGATCAAGATACGTTTTAAATCAATGTATGGCTATTGAATAAAACTGCAATGGTGCTTTTTATTATAATATATCAATGCAATTGATACCAAGCTCCTGAATATTGTTATTGAATATTCATAATAATATATTATTATATGTATACAATATAATAATGTCTTGTTTTATTGCGTGTACAACGACCTGTACAGTGGATAAAATTAAATAGTATAGGTACATTTATGTATTTCAAACCATAAAACGTGTGAAAATGTACATCGTTTGCCGCAGTTAATATTATATACACTGCAGTATAGTAAGACGTAGAATCCAATTTTAAGTAGCCGTCCGAGCAGATGATTGTGCAACGAATAATGATTTATAGTGTACTTATTTTGTTTCTCAATATGTGAATCCGGCAAATCAAAATGTCATTATATACCGATAGGCATATTATCCTATGAGAAAAAATTCCGAGTAACGGTTCTTTTTTTTTGTATGTACATATTATGTGTGTTAAGATATTCAACGTTCGGTTGAATTTTTGTTTATATTTTAAGCTATGTCAAACGTCTCTGGAACTTGTGGCATAAAAAACCAAGTAATAGTAATAATGATATACAATAAAATATAACAACAGCTAAGAGCGCGCTCATTTAAAAGCCGGTAAGACTTGATTTTTGTCTTTAACATTGTCTTACACCGAACGACGTTGTATTGTACCTACGTCGGAAAACTGATGGTGATATTTCTTTTGGAAATAATTATTTTTAAACTTGTCGAATCACACTTAAGGGCCACGGCACATGAAGTCTGTGCGAAACGCCGATAATCGTTTGGGACGGCATAAAAGAACAATCGCGTATTACACAGTACACACACACCGTAAATAATACGTTTGAATTTTTATAAGTAAAATACCTAGTATGTGTTTTTTTATTTTTTTATTAATTTTATAGTCAGAGGTCAAGAATTCCCGCTCGAGATGTTTGGCCAGTGTATATTTTCATTTCAATGTTTTTTTTCAGCGTTCGAGTTTATAATCGACTCGCCCGCAGTAACCCCCACGCAAGTACGCGGGCAACACGAGCGTACCTAAAGTACACGTCCAGTTTGATGGCAAAATAAAAAATGACAAAGTATTTAATTTCTTTTTGTTAATTTCACTTATCTTTACGGGTTTTCAGTCGTTAAAACTCCGACGTTGGCACGAGAAACCGTCTGTGGAAACATCACCGTGTGGCGTGTACTACTTATAGCTGTATATTATCATGTTTTTTTAATGCATTATTATTATTTTATTTCTTTTTATATTATTATTAGTTTTTTTTTATTAAATTGTTATGCATCTATACATTGTACGTATATATTATGTGGTTTAACTGAGCAATAAAGCTATAACTCGATAAATTGTATGTCTGACGACTGACTATAATATGTATAGTATAATGTATATATTCGGCGTAATTTATTAAAAAATTGGCTTAACAAATCTTTGATCGACTCAAACTATGTGTTTTGAATTTATAATACAAATTATCCAGAGGCAGTCTTGCTTGATCTGGCGTTGGGTTGGCTGGATTGAATAAAATTAGTTTGGGTCCGTGGTGAAATTTTTAATTAGAAACTGGACAGTTTTTTTAAATAAAAACCTGACCGGGACGGATTTTTTTAAATTAAAACCATTGTTGCACCTCGTTTTTGTACCTCTTAAGTCTGCTTTTAAGGTTATCCAGTTAAGATTAATTACTTTTATAAATCAATAATGGTTCTAGGTCTTTACAGCGACACTTTTATCGTCATGCCAAACATAACTTCGTCAATATCGAGACGACAATATGCCACTACTACAGCTGTATAATATTATAATATAGCTATAGTTTATTATAACCATACTTCACAGTTCACCATACCTAATTCTTAAAATATTTTATAAGAAAATAATGACTTAGTGAAGTTTTTAAACCTTTCCTTAACGAGAGCTAGTTAACACCAAGAAATATGGTCCTCATACGGCCAACCTCAATATTTATACTAGCTAATAAGTTATATTATAGGTATTACTATTAATATATGTTATGTAATTTACGGGTAGGAAAATTATGAGATATTTTATTACCTGTTTTCATGGTATATTTAAAAGGCTTTAAAAGTATAAAAATATAACTTAATATACTGCTGGAATGCACTAACATTTAACTATAATATGTGTATTGTCAGTGTACTACATTTTTTAGCGTTAAAAAAAAAAATACAAAGTATATTTCTATGTTGGATACGGGTACTTATCTTCCTTCATCAAAGTTTGATACATTATGTTAGTTTACTTGTGCTACCTGCGAACACAAAAAGTTTGTACTAAAAAGTAATAACTCTTGGGGCGGTTTTATCAATTCCTAATTTTATTTTGTTTTAATTACCTTTTTATTTTTGTTTCCAGTGGAGACATGAAATAGTACACATTTTGTAAGTCTTAAGAAAGTGTCATAGTTTTTGACTTTGTCAATAGAAAAAAAAGATATAGCTGCATTTTACTGGATCTCCAATTAAAATCAAGATTTTTTTTCCATTTAATTTAAAATTCTGGTATTTTTCTTTAAATACTATAATACTGAAAATTAAAAACCATTTAAAAGTACACCAAAAATAAACTTTAGACATTTTCGACGCTGTGACAGTACAAATTTGAAATTTTGTTTATTTAAGTTTGAACCTACCCTGCTATTCAAATTGTAACAACTTACATCAGCTTTTTTAAACAAATATATATATAATAATAGATAATAGGTAGACAAATAAAATTACGAATAATTTAAATATTAAAGTAATTAGGTACTATGATGACTTGGAAGACTTAAATACATTTGTATGGGTAAAAGAAATATGTCAAACCATTCTAATGTACTCTAGGTATATAATACTTTTTACAAGTGACAATTACATTTATTTAAAACGTATACAATTAAATCAAGTCACGAGTATAGAGAAAAAAGTTTCGATTTGTCATTTAACGGTAGTATTATTGGTTTATCTTTTTCCAGTAAAACATGCATGTGCTTAATTCATACATGATATACCTAGGATTGTGCGGCTAATAAATTATTAAATTGTTTAATAAAACAAACCGTGAATCATTTCATTCAGTTAATTAATGTATCGTCTATAGCATAATGTATAACATATTTTAGTTGCACGCAATGTGATGTGTAGAAAATACTATTGTTAACTGTTAAGCGCGGTCGGCTAAACATCTAATTATAATATTTTCACGCTAATAATATAAGTACCAAGTTGTAAAAAATCGCCAATGATAGTGCGGGCAGGCGGAATCTACTAGTCACGTCCCGTATGAATAGTATAGTAGTAGGGACACGCCGTAGCCAATAGAATCAATTCATCAATGGCCGACGCTACAAGCAGAATATTGTGTTCTATCTATGAATTTATGGACCATATGTGCAAGAGGTGTGTACCTAATAAAACGGTTTGGAGCGTATAAAATTAATAATTGTTGCATACTTCACGTACCTATAGGCTATACAGTTAGTAGGCGAGTCTGGACGCCTATCTAACAACGAGGAACCTATCTAATATTTACTACTATTTGACAGCAGCTTGTAATTAATTTTATTTTTAAACGTTCAAAGAATGCTAAATTCTAAATTTTATTTTTTTATATGCAAGTATTCATCGATAATCATATTGCAAATTAGTAACAGGTAACTACAATAAGTTATCATTCCAATAATGAACTTTCTGATAGCAAAAAAAAAGAGTCTTCAAAATCACATGAAATGTGTTCTTTAATTATTATAAATATTCAAAATTTCGATGGTTAGGTAAGTATTAGTTATGTTATATTAGTTAAAGCAACGAGCATTTGTAATTTAAATTATTTTATTTAATACTAACAGTATTTTTCTAGTCTTGGTTACTTTTTTATTACGACGAATTGTCAATAAACATGTTAAGTAAATATACCGATAGTATAGTTTAATATTTTCAAAAATAATAGTGATACAAATTTAAGTAGGTACTATATACACTTGTAAAATCAATTTTATTACTATTAATTAAAAAATTCAAGTTATCAAATTATTGTGGAATGAACGATAAAGTGTAGGTACTTTCATCGGGTAGGTTTACAAAGTATTACTGAGTATAATAAAAAAATCATGACAATAGGTATATAATTAATGTGCACTATGTACACGCATAACCACCAAAAATCTTCTCAATACCAAAAAATACAAGTCGTTTATAGAAGGTTTCGTTAACCCAAAACATGGAAATACCAGGAAATACTTTGGTATTTTTTTTTGTACAAATAATTTATAAATTAATTGGTTCATTATTAAAATTTGAGCGGACCACTAAATGTTTACAGGTTCATTTGATTAATCTCAACGAACATTCATATAACCTGACATTATAATTACAAGCTCACGATGCTTGGTGCCGCGGTATTAATTATTTGTCTAATTCATTGTCAAATTAGGACAGCTGATAATAATAATAAAAAAAAAAACATAATCGATTAAAGCGTGAATTTGAAACTGGAGATGCGGTCGAAACGAGAGAATCGGCGGGGATAGGCGAAAGAAGATGAGTTTACAGGCAATAGCTCAGGCCACGAAGAAGATGCGGCGTCGGGCGGGTGGGAAACGGAACACGTCCGAAGAAGAAGCGCGCGGCCGTGCTCAAAGAAGGAGACGAAACCGGTCTGGTACGGTTCTGGTAACCGTCTCGACAGTCCACACGTGCCCGCACGGCTCAGTTCCATTATCACCGGCGTTACCGTCGCGGCCACAACGTCATCGCCGCCCGTCGGTACACACAGCACACGAGCGCGAAAAGAACGAATTGACAAGAGAAAATCAATTATATTATAATATAAATCAATCGCGAAATTGACGACTGTCGTAGGTCTACTTGCCCCGAAAAAAAGAATCGCTTTATCTGGAAATTTCGCGTTCGAATAACTAACAGCAGTTCCGCAATGTGGGCCCGACGACGGTCAGGCGCGGACGGCTACTGACGGGCGACGGTAGCCGGCGATCGCGTACCGCCGTCGCGCAACTTTGGAACGTCGCGTGCCCAATGAAGATCAGCGATGTGCCGTCATGAATACGGGGCCTGGTCAGGGTGCAGCCCATGGGCCCTCGTCTGTTCCCAACTGGTGGGCCGCCGACCCTCATCACCATTCGTCTTCGTCCACCTCGGATGTCGTAAGTACCTCTGACAGAGTGATAGCACATGTAAAAAAATACTATACAAAAACGTATAATAGCATTTCAAAAAATACCATTTGGCACACTCGTGATAAAATAAGTAGAAAAATTACAGAGATGGGTATTTTTTTAGCAACATTTCTGTATGCTGGCCAATATAATATGTATGAATGTACGAACCGTTCAGTGGTTAGAACTTAGAAGTTATCCATCCGGCAGCAAACAACGGGTTTCTGTAGTTCTTGTGGGCAGCAGTTTTTTTCATAATAGCAAATACTACTGGCAATACAATAAAATGCACTTGAAAATAATACACAAATCACAACACTATAATGATCAACAAGATTCAATTATTAACTAGGTAAATTAATAAAAACTTGCTGCAGAACATTAAATTTAATTAGTTTAATATATTACTTATAACATTTCTACTTCACACACCATAGTATCATTTTACCATACTTATCATTTAAAAATAATAACTATAATTAATTGTTTTTCATAAGATTTACCGTTTCGAACTAATCTACTATTTCCATCAAGGCTTTTACTTTCCTATTTTTAATAATAACCCAATATGGTATCATTTATTGTTAAACTCAAACAATATTTGTGTGACTTGATTTTTTTTTCAAAAATCTGTACAATATTTATGTAAACAAACGTTTTGAAATTGAGTGAATTAATGAGCTACTAGCACGCATTGTATAAATTGAATTTATTTATTATTTAAAACGCGATTAAACAAACTCAAACAGAATAATGAGAAATACAATAGAACAACAATTATTTAAGATATAACTGATAGGCATAATTCGTGGAAATCAAGATCCGAAGCATAATAATGTCTTTTGAGATAATATTATAAAAATGTTAGTTTTAGCAAATAAAATGTCTCGGACCGTTTAATGCTACTACAATAGTCAGTCAAGCAAAAAAAACGCTCGGCGGCGGCCCAAGAGAAGTAAACACGTGCACAACTGTGTAGTGTAATGTAATCGATTGAATTCGATTAAACTTGTACCTGTTTTTTTTACATACATATAATATATTATAATTACACGCGATTTCCTATAATTTATTCAACTAAAGAGCGTTAAGTTGTCATATTTCACTCGCATATACACAGGCGGAGATTGGGGGTGCTTGGGGGACTTAGCCCCCAAAGTTATTAAAAGACCCCCAAATTATTTGATCATTTATCAAAGTAATTTGTTATAATGTATTTACTTTAAAAATAATTTAAAAGTATTGTATTATAATAATGCTAGCCCCCCCAAAAAATTAATCAAATCTCCGCCTATGCGCATAAAGGAACAGCCTCATCTGGTTGAAATATTCTGGCTACGTTAGGTGACGAATCTAAAATACATTACAAAACCTCTATAAGTTATCATTGTTGATGTTAATATGAATAACATTAACATAAAAACAGCATTAGTTCTACTATATAAGCCGATGAGTATAATTTTTTTTTACGAATTTTTTGACGTTTGCCGTTTGCGTATAGTGTTCTGGTTTTTGAACGACCAAGTGTCTGCTTTTGGATATGGTTTTTCTGCACCGGCATAACAATTTTAAGACAGCGGATATAAGCAGTACAGAGTACTTGACAATAGTTACTCTGAAAAACTTTGACCGAAACAATTATTTGTGAATAAATAAGTATTACGGATTACCCATTAGATAAATTATAGGTTTTAGTTTTTAGTATTATACGTACAATAGTATCACACATCCACTCACCTCTTTCTAGGTCTATACTTCTTAATCTCTACCAGTTTCACTATTTTAGGTTCTTCTTTTTTTGAGTGTACCGCAACCACTTTGATTATTTTAATTAAATTTATCTCACATTGCACTACTTAAATACGCAGAAAAAACATTTATTGAATAACGACCCGACGTGAAAAATAAATTTATGAAAAGGACAGCGATCGTTCTTATTCGACCACTTAAATAGGCTATACACATGCATTACGAAAAAATCTCTCACGACTTGTCTGCTTACAATAACTTTTTTTTTTTTTTGGAAAGAGGAAGCTTTTCTACAGGCTGTATTGGACTTCGATTTTCAAAATGCTATTTCGAAACGCTGTAATATAAGTTTAAATATGTCCAATTTGCACAAGTTTTACTCTATTTTTTCCCTTGGTTTTCAGTAACGTAATCAAAAATAGAAGTCCAATGTGCCCTGGAGGAAGTCTCTTTCTTTCCAAACAAAAAAATATTGTTTTCTGATTATTATACGAGGTGTGAGCGTTTTTTTTTTTTTTGTAACGCATGTTTTCACCACTAAAAATAACTATAACTTAAATATTATTGTACAACTGTATCTAAATAGGTCATACAAATAAAGCTAAAAATAAGTGAACATGATCGAAATCCAAACTTATAGTATATTATGCTTTCAACAAGAATATTAACTACAATATTAATAAAAATACCGTATGTAAATTTACACTATCATAAGAGTTCAAAAGTATAATTTAAAAAAATATGTTTTTCTTTGGAGAAAAACTAAACCATTATTGTCTAGTTTTTTTAATTTTTTTTTTTTTTGTATTACGGCTTCAGCGACTTGACTATTAACCAGATATTGGTTAGTTAATTACAATTAGTGATGGGAATCGGAAAATCCAGATTTTCACAAAAAAACGCTATTTAAGCTACTTAAAAATCATATAAGTGTTAAATAATTTTACAATATAAAGCTCTATATCTAAGTAACATTTTTTTGATAAATATGTAAAAATAAAACAAAACACCAAAGAGATAAACTGCTTTTGAATTTCGGATTTGTTGAAATCCAAAAATCCGGAATCCGAAATCCGAAAGCATTTTATATACAAAGTTCAGAGTTTTTTTTAAAAATTGTTATCAACAAATTTTACTTAGGTACACATCTTTATATTGTAATAGTATTTAACAATTATATGATTTTCAAATGACTTAAAAAGCGTTTTTTTGAAAAATCCGGATTTTCGGATTCCCATCACTAATTACAATACATTTTAAGCTAGTTTTACATTATACATTTAAAACCCGTTTACATGTTTATCTTTTTTAAATAATAGAAAAATTTGGGAAAATTCTCAGTACTTAGTATGGTTTTGAGGCTTGTGTTGTCACAAAAAATATTTCTCTCCTCTGACCAACAATGACATTTGAGAATGATATGCTTGATTGTAAGATCTGAGTCGCATACTTCACATCTAGGTTGTGGTTATTTGGTCATGAGGCGGAGATGAGTAATACAGGAGTGTCCTATTCGTATTTGTGTTTGGTCTTTTCTAGACATGTTATTGTACATTTTGTTGTATGATATTATAGGGTTAATCTGGTAGAGTTTGTTGGAGGTTTCTTTTTCCCAGAGGGATTGGAAAGTATCTCTTGCCTTTATTTTATTGATCTTTGCATGTCTTTGATAGATGTAGTTTCACACAGGAGAGCACTGTTCCGTGCCGCAACTTCGTCAATCCGTCGAGTGTGCACGTTACCGGGTATTCCGCTGTGCGCTGGTAACCAGATGAAGGTAGCTGGTCTAGACTCTAGCGAGTAATTGTGCGGTTTTCAGGAGGATACTTTTTATTAATTGTCTAGTTTTGTTTGCACGCGCCCAGTCGAATATTAGCTGAAGTGGTTTTTTAAATACGTTAAATATTTTAAGTATTTCTATAAACATCGGTTATTATTGCTTAGTCATAATTACTTTCATAAAATACTAATCGTAGACAGAGCTGTTGTTAAACTACAGTATATGTATATTTAAATGTTAAATTTTTAACAAAACGGATAATAATTTAAAAAAAACTCGCATCTAAATTTTGTATAGGGCGTTTTGTTTGTTAATATTCATAGGGTTACCAAGTACTATAGTAGTAGTATATATTCGTATAATAATTTAATACTATATATTTTACCAGTAAAAATGTTGGATAATATTTTGATATAAAATCAAATATTTTACAACTTATCTAACACGTAATCAATATTAGGTACATATAAATTATTTTATAATATTTTCCACCAAACATAAAAAACATTTAAAAAATAAGAATATTTTTAAATGGCTTATTAAATTAAGGATAGTTATTGAAAATAATTGTATTTTATAATTTGGGTATACAAATACAAATATGAGTTTTAAATAAAGAGGTAGGTAGGTTATCATTAATTGGACATTTTAGATTATAGTTTTAATAATTGCTTTAATGAAATGCTTAAGAAAATTATGTATTGACTAGTTTTAAATTATAGAATAATATCAACGAGATTGAAATTGATAATATTATAATTATGTTTACCTACAGGCTACATTTCAAGTATATTGTAGATTACGTATTAAACTAGTATTTTTTTATTCTTTATCTTAATTCATTAAAATTATATTAACTCCCTACAAATAACGTATGACTTGACCATAGTTATTAATAATCATTATATTATAAACTATATAATTTATGGAAAAAAAATATGTAATTTCCCACAATATTTAAACGCGTTTAAAACGTTTAAAATATATATATCACAAAATCGTTTTAAACGAGTTTAAATACTGTGGGAAATTACATTTTTCCATGAGTTATATAATTAATAATATAATGATTATTAATAACTGTGGTCAAGTAATACGTTATTCGCACTAGCGGGAGTTAATATAATTTGTCCATGAGTTATAATTTATATATGCAAATAATCTGGCGAGGTGATTTTGAGTTGAACGAATTCATATAGTGCGACGATATTTAAACGATTTACGGAAATAATAAGCGGATGTCAGAAATCCATTAGTGTAACGACTTTAGGTAAAAAGTTAGACGTGAATGTCGCAGGACTGATGCAATGCGTGATGGTAAAAAAATCATGAATATTATATAATATTAAACATTATTATTAATACAATTACGGACTGGGCTTTTTAATAATTATTATAATGATACAACTATCGTCGGTCTTATATTTGTTTTGAAAAAAATATATAAAAATAAAAGACC